TTTAAATGTCACTTTAAGCTGAATACTAATATCTTGAAAAATATCTAGTCAAATATTATGTGCTGTCATCATGGCAAAGATAAAATAAATCAGTTATTAGAGATGAGTTATTAAAACTATTATGTTTAGAAATGTGTTGAAAAAAATCTTCTCTCCGTTAATCAGAAATTGGGGAAAAAATATAGAGGAGGACTAATAATTCTGATCTCAACTGTAGGTTTGAAACGCATAAAGGGTGATCAAATAACAGAAGTTTCATTTCTGGTAGATCTATCCCTTTAAAGACGGCTCTTTGGTCCCCTTGACATTTCTAGTGTTGTGATTACGTAGATATAGCCTGCAAAGCTGTGATCCTTTAAACGTCAGGTGCTGGAAAAACAACCACACCGCATACAGATCGAATTTCTCCTGGCCTGTTCACTGTGAATGCCTTTGAACTGAGGGCATCGTGATCAGGTAATTTTTCTGCAACTGAGATCAACACAGTTTGAGTGCAGATCTACAGACTCTTTGTTGATACTAACCCTAAAATATATCTAGCATCATTCTTGTTGCATATCAACAATTAAACAAGTTATTCCATGCTACAGCACACAAATTAGTGTACTCGAAACCTACAGAGCAGGCCATCTACTCAGATACACTGATAGTTGTACACATAAAGTCATGTGAAAGGAGTTAATGCAACCAATTAAATTAAGTGGTTTTCTGAATTAGAAAAAAAAGCTATATGATAGCTAATAGGGCTGTAACGATACACGATATGAAATTGAAATCGCGACACTCAGATCTACGATCCTGTGTCGCGGTGTGATAAGGGAGAATCGCGACACACCCCGTGACTACCTTTCCAATAACGTCACGCGTGCCTGCAAAAGTTGAGCTAGTTGAACAAGAACGTGAGGAAACAGTTTTTTTTTCCGCTCGACATTACGAGCACTGCTCCGTTTAAGCCCTCGCAATAAGCGTTTAGCCGGGAGAGCTCGCACTGAGCTCTTAGTAAGGGACCGCCTGAATGTGTCAGGAATATCAAAAACAAAACCAACTTAACCCCACTTGACAACAGACAACGGCGGAAACATTGCCAATGCTGTCAAAGCATTATTGTTAATGTGGCTGCGCGTTCAGAGGGATGGACGTTCACCAGATGCCCCGACTCCTCTGCAGAGGAAACTTTTCTGTAACCGTGCTGTGCGCTTTCTGTTTAACCCTTTGGGAGTTAACGTTACGTGCTGACTGACAGGTGCGCGATGAGTGAGGCCAGGAAACAGGACGAAGCTTTCAGTTAAGATGAACACAGTTTCTATAGTTATACTTTATTTAGAGATAAAGGTATATGACTCTGCATATAATCACTCTATCTTGCTGGAGTTTATAGCCGTTTCGCTTTACTTCAGGACGCATTAATGCCGCTGTTTTAAGTTATCCAGAGCTGTATGAATGTACAAATCGTGAATATCACAATAGTATTAAATATTACAATTGTAACTACACAGACAGCAACACTTTTGCACAGTCGATACCCAGCTGATTCAGTCGTTTCATAAGAGGGCCGCGCTTCTTCTCTTCTTTTTTCCTTGTCAACATAAAGGCAGTGAGGTGCGTCTTGTTTTCGGCTTATAAAGCATGTATACACATTAATGCAATAGCATATTTAAACAACAAAACTGTTTACAAAAATTCTACACATGCACGCGTTGTTGTTGTTGTCTTTTCATCACGCAGCGCACGCACTTGAACCGCGAGAGGGAGAGAGAGGAAACCATCAGGACTTTAAAATAATGATTTCTATTAAAAATGTAAAAGGTTTTGTGATTATAATAATAACAGCGGGGCATTAAATAAATGCATATTTTCCGTGGAGCGGGCAATTTGAGGAAGTCTGCGATTTTTATTTGACGGAAGAAAAAACATATGATTGGAAAAAAACAGCCTATGCCGGTTATTAAAAATAATCAGTCAGTATTTACGTTTTGTAATATAAATTAATTATTTAAATGCAAATCATTTAGGGCAGTCCTATTTATTTTATTCATTTTATTTAGATTATTCTGCTCTTCTGTGCTTAACACTGTAGGTACGTGAAAATGCTCTGTTGTTCTGTTCTGTTTTTAATATGCTAGCATATAAAAATAAATCAGTAGCCTATTTTAAAATCCAATATTTAATGTGTCAGACCCAAAATAGACACGTCAATTTGTTTTAAATAAAATTAATAGTAATCTGACCAGTTAACCGTTAATAACCGATTAATGATCGGCGTTTGTCGGTTAGCAAAATTAACCGAAATGAGCATCCCTAGTAGCCATTTAATTTACTTTTTCTATGTAAGAGAACTTGATTGAAAAAGAATTTTCAACATGCTTGAACCATCTACACAATGGAGTTTAGTTCTGTTTGGTTTTTCAACAGTATTTTGTTACAAAGAAAACAAAAGTGATATAGCTTTGGCTATTTATTTATTTTATATATGGCTATTTATATTGCTAATAATTTGCATAGTTAATATTGTTCTTTTATGTTTAGTTTATAAAGATTTTTCAAATGTTATTTAATAAAAAATAGTTTTAAAAATCTTTTTTTTCCCACCCCACACGAAAAAAAAAATCGTGATACGAACCGAATCGTGGGTCAAAAATCGTGATACGAACCGAATCGTGGGTTTGGTGTATTGTTACAGCTCTAATAGCTAAGGGTTCAATCTACTCATGGTTCAGTATGCATCATGGCTTTAGGGTCACGATTTCGGTACGGTACGGTTTGTGCTATGCTTAGAAAAAAAATGCCTACAGAACAATTTAAAGAACAATAACAATAACAATTTCTTAAGTAAAAAAACATCTAATAATGCAACAGCTTCACACATATGACTGTAGATTTGCATGTTCTTGAGTTAATTAAATAAAAGTAGACCATTTTCAAAATTTTCATTCCGGAAAATAAAATTTTATGACCTTTCTGGAAAATTAACATAAATTTTCCGAAAGGTCTGTATGTGTGAACAGGCCCTTTTTGAAAAAATAAGGGAATTTGTTCACAATTCTGCAGATCATCAGTTCGGGGGTGCAAGATCTATTTTTATTTTTTAATGCTATAGACCTTTTTCGTAAATCCAAAATCACCAATTATGCTTTGAGTGTATGCATAAGGAGGATGCTTCTAACTTCCAGTCAGCAGCTGATGTGTATAAAGTCACATGTGATGACCAATGTAGCAGATCTAGATCAGCAGTTCCCAAGGAGAGTGTGTGTGTGTGGGGGGGGGGGGGGGGGGGAGATTGGTTGCGACCCACAAGGGGGCCTCAGCGAGCTTTGTGGAGGGTTGAATCATATTTAATAAAAAAAATCTTAGCAGTGGACAATTGGGATCATGATCATGTTGCCTTAGTTAATTTCATCCCCTAGCTCAGTGGTCCTCAACCACTGGCCCGTGGATCAATTGGTACTTGGCTGCACAAGGAATCATTAATTATTTCCGTTTTATTTATTATGCGAGTCTGAACCAACTTTTATTTTGAAAAGTCTTTTATTTTGAAAAATTACCATATTCTCACGGTTACATCTTGGCCACTTTAGCACCCAAATTTAACCCACAAGCAGCAAAATGAGTAAAAAACAGACGTCTTTGGAAAGTTTCTTTGCTACGGGAAAAAGGCCCAATGAAGGACCCGCAAACTGCCAAGGAAAAGATCCGCAACCCACTTGTCAACAAATCAGGTGAATCCAGCAAGTCTGTGCAAAAAGATCAACTGATGTAGATCGCAAATGACGACGGCCTTCTAGGGGGCGTTCGTATATTGCGTATTTCTAGAGTTTGCACAAGTTTGTTGTTTCCTATGGAGGTGCGTGACGCGCTTATACCAATGAACCCCGAGCCACGAGTGCACCGCGAGTCACATAACAAATACTGACCGATCAGCTTCAGTCTGTATGGAATATTCACATTTCGGTTAGACTGATTTTCTCAGACAAACAAAGAACACACACAAACACAGCAGTCCTTTGTCATTTTCTCTATAGATAAAACTTGTATCAGAGTGACAGCAGTGTTTTGTCAGTTTGTCTTCCTCTGAGGAAACGGTTGATGGTTGCATAGCAACCTACGAAACACCCCCCACCCCCCGCAGTAAAATTTTCAAGCGTTGACTGGTGCGTGGTGATAAACAGGTTGAGGACCACTGCCCTAGGTGACCAAAAATGGACAAATTTGTAATCCGTCCTCCACAAAAAAGACAGAGTCTCACGGATTCGCCTCGCAGCAGTCCTCACACTAATTGACAGAGCATAACAAATAACATGCAAGTAGTAAATTGTAATAGCCTATATTATTTTTACCCTCATAAGCCTGTGTGAATACTGATATTAGTGTTACTGAATTTCAAATAGGCTCAATTTAAAGGCCAAAGCCTTATGCTTTTCAGTTACGAATGACCTACTGATGTTTTGCTTTGTATATATTACATTAGGCTATCATACATTCATTTTCTTTTCGGCTCAGTCGCTTTATTAAATCGGGGTCGCCACAGCGGAATGAACCACCAACTTATCCAGCATATGTTTTGCGCAGCGGATGCCCTTCCAGCTGCAAACCATCTCTGGGAAACATTAGGCTATTATTTGTGCATAAGCATATCATTTGTTTGAAAACAACATTTTTGTCATCATTACTGCAAACTTATATGAGCGAATATATCATTAAATGTGGAGGGGGGCCTTACAATACTTTTCTGGAAAAAAGGGGGTCTCAGGCAAAAAAAGATTGGGAACCACTGATCTAGATTCCATTCACAATACAGGATGTAAAGATTTAATGCGACACAAAAAAACACTTTTGCTGGTTTTCTCATGTAGAAACAGCAAACTAGGTACTAACCCTAACCCCAAAGGAACTAGAAAAGCTTCCTAACAGATGTCATTTCTTGACAAATGCTTTGGATGAAGGAAGACTTTTACTTCTTCAAGCAGAAGTATCTGTATGACTGTATCGTGTAGGACACTCACCACATCATAGCCGGTAGGAGCTCTGTTTCTTGAGGCCACAACCCCTACGCCGGTGATGGGGTCCATGGGCATCTCTGGTAGGGCATCTGAAAGGTCCCGTACCTCAGGCATCATGGAGGAATTCTGAGGAGACAAGAGTGTTGTTAAAATATTTGCATACTAAACAACAAACCACAAGACAGAACATGCTAGATCTGTCCAAGCAGTGTTTGTTTTGTCTACAAGCCAATGAATTTATCCATTTTTAGACCACGCCCTTCTTGGTTACGGTTGCCAACCCACAACATCCCATAGGAATGAAGTGGGGATTTCCATGAAGAGCATGATTTTTAGTAGGATGTGTCAAAAAGTTGGCATTTGTATCCAAAGAATTAAAAATACATGATTAAGAACAATGCTAAAGGCAAATGCTTGACATGTTATACCAAAAAAGAGAAAATGTCTTGTTTGAAAACTTTTTAAACTCTGAAGTAAAAAAAAATAAATAAATAGTCCACACAAACGTTCCTAACGTACAACCTATTAACCTATTTTAAACACTTTTATTAATAGTATTGTCATAAAGGTAATGATCACATCAGGATGATAGAATTAATTCACCTTGAAACAAATATGTACAATATTATTGATTTTATTAAGGGTCTGGGAGGAGGGATGCCTCTACTCTTGGTTCTCTCAATCACTGAGCAACAATATCACAATATCCATGCATAATAGGGGTGGGAATCACAGGTTAACTCTGTGATAAATATTGATACAGATATGCTGATATATTGTGATATATGCTGTTTACTGTAACTTCAACAGCTCTGTGTACATGAACAAAGGTGCCAATCTGATTGGTGGAAAAGGTTTTGATGCGGCACGTGAGGTGTACATTTAGTGTATTGGTATGCGCGATCTAGGGTTGTAACGGTATGAATTTTTTACGGTATGATGATCGTCTAAAACAATACCACGGTTTGACGGTTTCGCGGTATACGGTATGTTACAAATGTTACAAAATAATAGAACAGTGAAGCAAATTTGACTTTTTCCAAATAATATATTTTTAGTTACTATAAACAACACCGCTTACAATGAACAAATAAAAAAATAAGAAAATAATAAATAATGTGTCAAAGTCCAAATAAAGTCCAAATAAACATGGTGCAAATCCTCAGTAAAAAAATAGATGTAAATATTTACTATACTATAAATAGTTACATAACGAAACTAGATTCAATATGGAACATCCTTAGGTTTTATGTGCCAGCATGGATATGGTTGTCTGTGGATATGGATTTGGATATGGTTGTCTGCAATGCAGACAAACAGCTGCACCTCCATTTGCGTCTTTTGAAAACAGCAAGAGCAGCAGTTCGTCTTTGCTGTGTCACTGTTTTGTCATCTTTCTGTGCTGCTGTGCATGCAAAAGTATTTAGTATGAGAATTATTTCATGCAAAACTTTTTTTTTGCGTTTTATTTAGCCGCGCATAAATGTACAGCCTATCTCTCATTCAGTGTTGTTCAAAAAGCTCATTGTTGGTCCACAAACAAAAGCGAAACCTATGCTTATTGGTTGTGATATAGCGAGTTTGAACCAATCTGGGCATGGAGGAGGGACAATGCATCAGTAGCCGCATTTCCACTATCGCCAGTGCGAGCCGGGGCTTTAATCGGGCCGGGCCGGGCCAATAGCCCGGGAGGTTGAGAAATGAGGCCGAAATCATGTCGCGTTTCCACTGACGGGCTAGTAGCTCACAGCGCGTCACGCAAACACCGCCCACAGAACGTCCCCAAATCATACGTCACACAACCCGCCCACTTCAGCGGCCCCCACTTTAGCGGGAATTAGGCAGATAAAGCACACCATAGAATCATCACGAAACGAAACTATTAAAATGAAGACAACCGAAACAAACAAATGACACGTTACTGTACAGCAGTACATGAAATGTCTATACGCACAGACCTGTGTATTTCCATTCATTACTCGCCGACCGACTGTTGGCATTGTGCGCTCTCGCCACTAACGGACCCATCACAGTGAGCGCATACATCCATGATATAAAGCCAGAAATTCTCCTTTATAACTCGACATGGCATGTATTTTATAACATCCTCGTTTTGATTGATGTCGTGTTAAGTGTTTCAGCACAAGAGCGAGTAGCCTAATAAAATAGCCATATTTGTTGCACTCCGCAGCTATTCACTAAAGCTCTTCATTTAAAGGTTCATTTATAAATTTTATCCTCAAACACTTGTTTGAGGATATAGAACACGTTTTGTGTTTAGACTTTTCCCAAATGTGTTTAAGGCTGCGATGCGCAGGACTGGGTTACAGAAAAAAAGGTATAACTTAGGCTAGATTCTGCTTTTACTCACCCAAATAATGCTCTGTTTGCGCGATTTGATTAATATCATCGCATCCAACTACTTTATAAATAATATTTCAAACCTTCTCCGGTGTTTATTGTTTTTAGAAATCATCTAAAATCTTTTTTTAGATAGGTCTTTGTAAAATGAAAGTTAGGCTATATGTGGCATTAAAACGGTTTGATTTATGTATTGTTTATAGGCTACCTACATTGTTATAGATAGCTTTTGTTTATTTTATATTGGTTTATTTATTTAATGCAATTTTATTATATCTGATATTTGTAATTCTTTAAATTATATTTCAATATAGCTTAGGCTATTTTATCTAGATATGACACTATATTGTTTAAAGTCTACGAAAGTGGGCACGTAACTTGTTAAGTTTTATGTCCTTCTGTTGTATTTATATTGTGTATTATCTACAAAATAAAGAAAGAAAAAAGCCGCTCGCGGCATCAACAGAGCTGTAAAGGGAGCGCTCTTGCCCGGTCTCACACACACATACAGGCATCTAAACGTGCACAAACAAACATTTTAAACTTGACAAAAACTCTCGAAAACCTTTACTGTCTGCTGTGTCTTTAATATGGTGTAAAGATTATTATGCGTTATTGAAACATAAAGGAGGACGCAGCAAAGAACGTCACTATAAATTAAAACTACTTTATTATTTTATGCAGCAGCCTTACATTTAAAAGGGAAACATAAGGGCGATCATACGCAAAAAGACCCCAGACTATAAGGCTAGATGTTTTCTTTCCCTTATTTCTTTATTTGTTTGGCGCATGTGGAAACCCCACTGGCTTTGGCTCGCTCGCTTTAGGCGCAATAGTGGAAACGCAGCTAATGTATCATGTCTGGTTTGTCCGGAGACTTAGTGACGAACGTTTCTTTGTCAAATCAGCGTTGTCAAATTTTGATGACGTAACCGCACTGATTCCGGAGCCTCTGCAAGTCCGCAAATGTTATGTGATACAGCACTGGAAAGCTGAGATTCTCTTCTTTATGCCAATTTTTTAATTGTATGAATCGGATCAGCGGATCAAAAGTTATTAAACATTTAAGAGCAATACTTATTTTTAGCCGCGGGCGGCTGTCTCGGTCTTTAAGGGTTAAAACCGTTGATATGCAATTGTTCATGGTATGATAATCGTGCACGTTCAAATCGTGGTAGACCGTCATACCGGTATATTGTTACAACCCTAGCGCGATCACACTGGTGCCCTTTATTTAGTCACAAGGCGTTAAACGTTGACAGAAAATGCGAGTAAAAAGTCTCCCAGTATTCACAGGCCTTTAGACTGATTAATTCAGATCTTTTGTACATTTACATAAGTATTGATACTTGGTACCAGAATACCAGATATTTTGTCACATCCCTAATGGATATTGCTATCTATTAATAAAACTGTTTACAATAATCCAAACGTCCAGACTACCTATAGACTTGCATTTTTTAAAATGCCCAAAAGCTTACGTGACACTGGTTTTTATAATTCAATTATTTCCAGTTAATTTCTAATACAACAAGTCTACACAGCTGTGACGGCAAATAGAAAAGATACCTTAAAATTAATCCAAATATGGACTTTATGGTTGGTCAAATGTCTAAACACTGGCTATAATAGTTACATTTACACAAGCCGATGTTCAAACATACCTCACTGACGTAACACAGAGCAGAATACAACATGACGGTACTACAGAAACATGACGACAAACTGACAAATGAAACCAAGTCACTGTGTAAAAGGCATGTTTGAATAGAGAACAATAATGTGGAGAAAAGAATAAAAGTCCAGTGGGAAAGTGAAGGGTGGGGATGAAACCCTGAACCAGACCAGCAACACATCCTCTTACAGCTTTTCCTTATCAACTCTCTCTAATTTTAGATGCTCACTACTTCAAAGGCAAGACATTTTACTTTCAATTAGCAGGGTTCTGATACTCAAGTCAGTTTGTTTACTTCTGAGTAATCATACTTCCAGACTGTCTGAGAGCTCAGCTCATAATAAACAAGAACTTACATGCTTCTCTAAAATGTAAACAGTCTTGTATGAAAAAGCAGAAAACATGCACGGTTACTGCAGATCGACTGATTAAACCGAGTTAAGGAAAACTGCTTAGCATGGGTTTGTCAAGTGTAAAAAGTGCCTAATTTTCAATAATATTTCTGATTAGACTCCCTTAAAACATCTGAAGGGAACAAAAATAAAATGGATTATGATATTAATGTAGTTTATGGGCGGCACAGTGATTCATTGGTTAGCACTGTCGCTCAGACCAAGTACACTGGTTTGAGTCCTGGCAGGGTCAGTTGGCATTTCTGTGTGGAGTTTGCATGTTCTCCCCATGTTGGTGTGGGTTTCCTCTGGGTGCTCCGGTTTCCCCCACAGTCCAAACACAAGCGCTATTGTGAATTTGGGTAAATAAAATTGGCCTTGTGTGAATGCCAGAGTGTATGGGTGTTTCCTAGTACTGGGTTGCAGCTTTAAGGGCATCCGCTGTGAAAAAAACATATGCCGAAATAGTTGGCGGTTCATTCCACTGTGGTAACCCATGATAAAAAGGGACTAAGCCAAAGGAAAATGAATGAATGAATTAATTTCATTTGTAGAGTTTCTTTATAGCTCAATGATTCGAATTAATATCATAATTGACTAATTTAGTCCCACTGACACTTTTACAACTGCCATTAAAATGTGCTCCATCAATCTGATCGTAAATGTTTAAAATACTGTCGAAAATGTTGTGAGGTTGT